ACCCACTCCAGTATTCTGGCCTGGAGAATTTCACGGACTGCGTAGTCCATGGGGTTGCAAAGAGTCGGACACTACTGAGCGACTTTCACTTTTATGTTCATTCAGTTGGTGATGCTATCCAACCATCTCATCCTCTGCCTCCCTCTTGTCCTCCTGCCCTCAATCTTTCCCAGCATCTAGGTTGTTTCCAGTGAGTCAGCTCTTCATATCAGGTGGCCAAAGTATTGGAGCTTTAGCTCCAGCATCAATCCTTCCAATGAATCTTCAGAGTAGATTTCCTTTCAAATCAACTGGTTTGGTCTTCTTACAGTCCAACGGACTCTCGAGTCTTCTCCAGCGGACTCTCGAGTCTTCTCCAGCACCATGATTCAAAAGCATCAGTTCTTTAGTGCTCAGCCTTCTTTATGGTCCAACTCTCACCTCTGTACATGACTACTTACCTTTCAGTATAACGTTATTTTCAAGTGATGTAATGGCTGGTTTATTACTGCCAGTTCAGTAACTGGCAGTGTTAACTTTTTTACTATGGTTTAGTTCTCTGTAATGACTAGGTCAAGGGCAATGCTGTCCAGTAGAATTTACTGTAATTATTAAAATGTTCTGTATCCACAGTGTCTAGTCCCATAGCCTCTAGCCACATGTGGCTGTTGAGTATTTGAAATATGACTGAAGAACTTATTTAAAGTTTTACTTAATTTTACTCAATTATAATTAAAATTTAAATACCTTTATGTGACTAATAGCTGTTGTATTGGATATGGTAAGATATCCAGGTCTAAGGAGTTGCCATGGGAATGAATCAATGAAGGAGAATGGCAGTGAAGTTTATTTTAGTTGAATAAATCAAGAAACTGAGAGGCCAGAGTGTCAGATGAATTATGCATCTGTACACTGAAGAATGCTCAGGGCAATGGCAAGACTGGGTTGGCATTGGAGGTGGTTAGGTAGGTTCCAGAGTCTTAAAAGAAGCTTTTGGATGGAGGAGGGGGAAAGTGTAATGGACCAAGAAAGAAGGCTCTTTCCCCTATGGGTTGTCAAAGATACTTGAATAGAAATGTTTCTGAAGCACAACATATAGTAATTAAGAGTTACTGAAAGAGCAGGTTTTAAAAAAGAAGTGGTCAGGAGCAGTAGCAGTGCTTCAGAGCAGTGTTCTGTGACCAAACTCTAGTGTAGTAAAGAGGTCTTGAAGAGCTGTGAGAGTGAAACTTGGTGCAGAGGTGGGAAAGGAAGCTAATTGCCAGGAGTAGGTGAAAGGTTAAGGTGTGGGCAGTTTTCTAAAAGCTCCTCCTTGTGAAAGCAGTAAGAAAGGAGGTGGTAGATAGTGGGAAATGTGGGATTTTGCTTTTATTTAGCAAATGGTAGGAATTGATCTTGAGGAGCGACACGAAAAAGTGAAATTGCTTGGTGTTTTCTTTCAGTGCATAGAAGAAATCTTGAGGCTGAGTGCCTACAGGGTCTCTGTGAGGTGAGGAAGAAGTGGCTGGGTGATGACAGTAGAAATGTTGATTGGGCCAGATTTTGAACCATCTTGAAAGGCAATATGATGAATTGTTGGCTTTATCTCATAGTTCATGGAGAGCCAAGGAAAGTTTTTAATATCTGAGGCTCCTGTAAGAGTTTGTGCTTTATTTTTTTTTTATTTTTATTTTTTTTAAATAAAAAGTTTTATTGGAGAAAAATAGAACCACCACGTACACAGGGAAAAGAGCACAAAAATTCAACTGATACAGAACTGAAAGTCACAACTACCCAATGTTGTTTGCGATTACTTTTCAATTTCTTAAAATGTAAAGTGATGCAATTAGAAAACAGGCAACTTAAAAAAATTATGGTCACAGGTCTTTGAGAACTCAAGAAAACAATCAATAGCAAACACAAGAGCTGAAAGTCTCAGCTGAGGGTTGAAAGTGAAAGTGAAGTCGCTCAGTCATATCCGACTCTTAGCGACCCCATGGACTGTAGCCCACCAGGCTCCTCCGTCCATGGAATTCTCCAGGCAAGAATACTGGAGTGGGTTGCCATTTCCTTCTCCAGAGTTTGTGCTTTATAAATACTATTTTGGCAATAGCAAGGACTGTGGACTAAAGGTAGCCAGACTGAAGACAAGATTGCTTCATCAAGCAAGAAGTGATGAAAACCTGAAATAGGGCAGTAACAGTTCATAGAATGAAGAAGAGTTGGGAGAATTTGAGATTATAGTTCGGAAGTGGAATGAGCACAACTTATGGTGATGGAATAAGGGAGAACAAATGTTAGAACCTAGAGGTTTCTGAGTTGACTAGTTAACTGGTGAATTTATATTAAGGAGCCAAAAAAAAAGAACCCAAGTTTTGGATGGTGGTCAGTTATTATATCTCAACAGTTGAGATATAATTCACCCATTTAAAGTAGACATTTCAGTGTTTTTGGTGTGTTTACAGAGCTGTGCAACTACCATTACTGTTTCAGTTTTAGAATCTTTTTCATCACCCTATAAGGAAACTCATACCTATTAGCAGTTACTCCTCATTTTACCCCACCTCCCTCTCCTACCTCCCAGCCCTGGGCAACCACTAACCTACTCTTAGTCTCTGTGAATTTGTCTGTTTTGGACATTTCATATAAATAGAGTCATACAATATGTCCTTTGTGACTAGCTTCTTTTATTCAGCATATATTCAAAGTTCATCCAAGTAGAGATCACTTTTTGCCTTGTTTTATATATATTCATCTCTTTACATGTTTTGTCTCCTCTACCAGAGGCCTTATTGTTATATATTCTAAGGCTGTATCAATTAATAGTATATATGCTATATTTAGTTATGACTTAGCAGATATTTGCTGCATCATAAAGTTAGAAGATTAACTCCACTAACCATGAAATTAATTTAACCTGAATGAGTTGCTCCCACACATGCTTACCCCCTAAGGCGTGTCTTTATTTGCTGTCATAGAATAAGTAGGTACTATGCCAAATGGTTCTGCCGTTAACTCTGTATGACCTGGGTAAGTCATTATATTCTGGATACACTTTCTAATTCAGGTTGATGGGATTTGGATAGAATTGGGGTTCATCCAGAGAGTCTCTGAGAAGAAATGAACACAGGTTTCCTCTCCTATCTGAAAGATGAATATTCTTATGAAACCTTTCGTAAGGCAAAATGGGGATAGCAGAAAAACAATTACCTTAGGATGCTGCTTCCTAACGGATACACAAAACAAATAGAGGTAAAGCCCAGATGCTCATAGATACAGTTCAAAGCTATGACAGCTTGATGCTGAGATGCTGAGTTTAGTTCCTGAGGAGGGAGCTTGGCGGTTCTACTGTTACTGTTTGTGGTGTGCGCTGCCTCTGTAATGGCTTAGGGCAAAACAAATGTTGAATGCTATTTTTGCTTTTCACCTATTTTCTGGAAAATTTCCAGATTTCTTTTGGTAAGTGAAAACAGGTACAGGCTTACAATGGGGTTACGCATAATAAACCTATTGTAAGTCAAAAATGCATTTAATACACCTAATGTACTGAATACCATGGCTTAGGCTCACCTACCTTAAACATGTTCAGAACACTTATATGAGCCTATAGTTGGGCAAAATCATCTCACACAAAGCCTGTTTTATAATATAGTGTTGAATAGCCCCAGCATTCTTGCCTGGAGAATCCCATGGACAGAGGAGCCCGGTGGGCTACAGCTCATGGAGTTGCAGAGTCAAGCGTGACTAGCACACACAGACACACACACGTTGAATAGCTCATTAATTTATTGAATACCATACTGAAAACCAGAGTGGTTAATTGGATACAGAATGGTTGTCACTGTTCGTTGTTCACCCTTGTGATCACATGACTGACTGGGAGCTGCTGCCCAGCATCATGACAGAGTATCACCACATATCGCTAGCTCAGGAAAAGATCAAAATTCAGAATATGATTTCTGCTGAGTATTATGGCTTTCACACCTGTAAAGTTGAAAAGTCCTAAGTCAAACTATCATAAGTTGGGGATGATCCATACTAAAAGTAAAGTGGTATGGGTGACCTGTAAACGTTTGACTCTATTACCTGAAACTCCTGGGATAGGAGTAGCCTTTTTTCACAAGATTTGGAATTTTGGCCCCTTAAGTCCTTCCAATCCCATTTTACAAGGTCCTAGTTTTGTTGTGGTATACTGCTGCTTTTGTCACCAATGTGGGGCGTTGTGCTCGTGTCATGTTCTCTAGCTATTTTGGAATGCTTAGGACCCTTATTTCTTAAGGACACTGACCAGTAGGCTCCCTGTTTTTCATAGCTTTATGTTGTTTTAATATGGCCACATATAGTTGAATACAAAAAAAGAAAAAGCTTAAAACCCACTCCATCCACCTTCCTGAAACAAGGAACTTATAACTGCAGGCCTATCTTACCCCTCTCTTTTGGGGAATTGTTCATGCTTTTATTTAAAAAACACATACTGAGTGTGTACTTGAATGCCATGTCTCAAAATAAAATAGTCCTTAGATCTCATGGCATTTCAATGGGAGAAGGCAGACGTAGACGATCACAGTATGACACGGAAGTGCAGTTGCAGAGCACACCTGGAAGAAGCCATCGGGACGGGGTTTTGAAGCAATTGTCACCTGGTGTTTCTTTACTAATAAATATAACACAGAAGCAGTCTGATGGAAAGCACTAGTGTTCTTTAGAACAACTGAGGTGACTCCCATTTTAGAGAGCAATCTGAAACTCAGAAAGGGTCAATGGCTGGGTTTTAAATAGATTCTAGACTTAGATTCTGTGTTTATCCCCTCATCCTCACCATATCCATGCCCCTTAAGCAAGAGTAGAAAGTACCCTTGCAGACTACTACAGTGCTCTGCCACCCCCTTCTCTTTAAGCGAAGCTGGAGTCTCAGGTTCTCTTTTCCGTGTCTAGCCTGCTTCCAGTGTCGTGGGTGCATTGAGCATTCCAGGGCTGTAGCAGTAGCGAATATTGCTGATGTCATTGTTTGCCTTATTGGGATTTTGCTCTTTGTTTCACAGGGAGCTGTGATTGGTATAGACGATGAGGACGACAGCACCTTCACAATAACTGTTGATCAGAAAACCTTCCATTTCCAGGGTGAGCTGAAAGAAGAGATTTTTTTTCTCTTCACAGTCCCAACTGCTTCTTTCCTTCTCCTTTGGGTTGTTTGCTGGACGACTAGAATGGTTTTTACAACTGATCCTGTATGAACGCGTGCACAGGAACGTTCTGGATGAAGTGGTACTGCAGGTTAGGCAGGGATTTAATCGTATCTGCAGCGGATACAGATCTCTTTGAAACGACTGTGGATCTGGCTGCAATTGGAGATTAAAAATTTAAACGATAAAAATCAGTGAAGGGAGAGAGTAATGGGCTGCTGCTGCTGCTGCTGCTGGCTTGTGTTTACAGAAGGTTGCTGATCTTCTTTATCGAGGAGTATGGCTCTGCTTTTCTGCATGAGGAGTCTAAAGACTGATTGTGAAGGTTGCAGTGTTTGTCCCTGTAAAACTCAAAATGTAAATTAAAGTGAAGCTAGTGGCAGCCTTTGGCTTAAAGGTTTTGCTTTGCTTCAAGAACTACAACTTTGCATTCATTTCATCTGCATTCTGTGTCTTGTCTGCCAGCCGTCATTTCTCTGCTATTATCCTTTCTATAGTTAATAACACCAAATGCCATCTGCCACTGCTATGTTTCGGCATTGCATGCTATGGTTCACCGGTAGAAAGGGTAAGGTACTGGATGATCATTCTCATTTCATCTTGCTTTGAAAACTCTAAACCAGCAAATAAAAGTCAGTTTTAATGATCCTAATGTACTCTCATTTGTTAGGAGTGTCTATTAGCTTTGATACTAATGTTTTTGCTATTTTGCCTATCGTGAGTAACCTCTTTTATGTTTAAAGCAGTCCAAGAAACTTAGAAATTGAGAATATTTGCACTTTTTCTGAACTACAAGTGACAATGCACCGTGATAGATGCTAGGTATACCAGGATGAAAAAATAATAGTAAATCAATTAATTGTTTAAAAATATTTTGGTTATGAAGTCTAACAGTGACCAGATATGTTATGTGAGATGTTCAGACAGCTATTGTCCTTCTGTATTAGGATAGTATATTGCAGTAATTTTTCTTCATTGTCTTAAGAAATTGGCACATAGAAATGAAAGATACAGCTTATATATAATAAAGACAAGCCAATGTACTCACTTGTGATATCTCTAATGCTTTTAGGAAAAAGCATTGTTAGAATATTTATTATGTTTGGTCATATTCTTTACTCAGAACTGCTTTTAACTAATAATGCTGTCTTGAAATTTTCTACTACTTTTAATTTCATAAAACATTTAAAATCTTAGTTTAAGAAAGTCCATGACCTTTATTTTTAGGTTCACTATGTACTGCTTGTCAGTGAAACCAGATAATACCCACGCTCCGGAACTCTTTACTTGAATGAACTTGAATACTTTAATGTATTTTAAGTAGTAGCTGCTAGATGCAGGTAAAGGCTGCACTATGAAATTCTCTCCTCTGCAGTTACTAAGGAGACATCATCTTTGGACCTCAGAAGCTGTATTGTTTGCCTGGTTAAAGGAGAGAAGACTCAGACCTCTAGAGCAAAGGCACCTCTACCTTTTCTGATTTAAATTATTTATATTAAACTGATCTTCCCTTTAACATTTCTATATTTATGTTGTTTGCTTGTAAAAACAAGTGATTCCTTTAATGAATCATTTAAATGACAAGGATAAATAAGTGTTATATGTATTTTTTAAATGGATATTTAGTTCTGAGACTGTTGGATTCATTAGTTTATTTTTTACTGTAATAGTTTTGGAAGCCTCAGACAACATGAGATTATTTGGCTTTTGCAAAGAACCCTAATATTCTTTCTATTCTTGGACATAATAAGAGTTATTTTGCATTCATAGGTCCTTGCTCATAAGTTTGCTGAAAAATTGATGAAATTTTCAATGTCTAAGGTCTTCTTGATTAGAATTGAAAGCAAGTTAAGATGGATGTACATTAGCATGTGTGTAAATGTGTTGACTTTTTAAAGTTTAATATAACAGAATTTTTTGAAGCAAGTGAAGTATCAATTGAGACATCTATAAAACAAATTCTGCTCACTGTCAACTCTTAAAGGGAAAGCTAGAATTTGTTTAGACCCACTAATTTGTTCCAACATCTATTTTGGACATTACTCTAAGTTCTGGGGATACAATAGTGAACAAAATATAAAATTCCTCCCCTCTGTAGCATCTAATCTGGTAGAGAAGAAAGCCAATAAATAAGATAAATTTTAAAATATAAGGAAATAAGACAGTGGCAAGTCCTAGGGAGGAAAAAAAAACGCAGGCAAGGAGAAAATGAAATAGAATTGTGAGGTTTTGTGTGTGTATATTTGTAGGGGGTGGTTGAGAATTTTAGATGGCTGGGGAGACTCACTGGGATGATGCCTTTCAGTGAAAGACCTGAAAGAAGTGAGGGAGCAAGCTTATATGGCTTTGTTGGGGATGATGGTGAAGAGTAAATCACTCCAGGCAAAGGAAACAGTAAGTGCAAAAGGGTGTGCCTGCCATATTTGAAGAACAGCAAGGAGGCCAGCTCTGGTTGGAGTGCGGATCACCAGGCGGAGGGTAGTATGAGATGATGTCTAAGAGGGAACGTTTTATGAGGCCTTATATGGCAACAGTAAGGATATTGAATTTTACTAAGATAAGAAGCCATTATAGATGGTTTTAAGCAGAGGAGTGACATGATGTGATTTTTAAACAGTTATCACTCTGGCCACTGTTTCGAGAATAAAATGCAAGAGGCCGGAACAGAGCTGAGAAACTAATTAGGAGACTAGAGTAATCCAGAAGAGAGATGATGGCGGCTCCCAGGTGGTAGCAGTGGGAGTAGAGAGGTAGTGAGAAGTGGTTGAATTGTGCATGTGTGTTTAATCAACTCTATTGAGGTATAATTAATATACAATAAAATGTATACTCTCTAAAATTCAGTGAATATTGACAAATTTACTTACTCATTAAGCTGCTACCATAATCAAGATCTGGAACATTTCTGTCACCCAGAAGATTCTTTTATTCTTTTGTCAGTCTATACTTCCAGTCCCTGGCTCCAGACAGCAACTGATCTACTTTCTATCGCTAAAGATTAGATTTTTCTTTTGGAGAGGTTCACACAAATAGAACCTTTCAGTATGTACTCTCTTTTGTCTGGCTTTATTTTAGCTTAGTATGTTTTAGCTCGTCCATCTTGCTGCATGTATTGGTAGTTCCTTTTATATTGCTAAGTAGTAGTCTGTTGTTAGATATTATATTTTTTTTGAAGGTTGTACTGTAGCATGTGAAAGAAAGACAGTAGGAAGACAGGATGACACCATATTTTTGACTTGAGTGAGACTGGAGTTGCCATTAACTGGGGTGGGGAACCAGTTGTGTGTGGGGAACAGGTGGGCATTGGGAGCTTAGCCTTGGGCATGCTTATAATCAAGTTCTAGATGCCTATCAAATGTCCAAATGGAGATGTCAAGTAGGTAATTGAGGTGTGGCGTTCAGGAGAAAAGTTCAGGCTGAAATAATAAATTTGGGGGTCATTGGCATATAGATGGTATTTAAGCTGTGAGAATTTGGGAGGAAGTATGGAGAGAAATTTGGGAGGGGAAGTATGACTTCCCTGGTGGCTCAGATGGTAAAGCGTCTGCCTACAATGTGGGAGACCCAGATTCAATCCCTGGGTTGGGAAGATCCCCTGGAGAAGGAAATGGCAACCCACTCCAGTACTCTTGCCTGGAAAATCCCATGGACGGAGGAGCCTGGTGGGCTACAGTCCACGGGGTCACAAAGAGTCGGACACGACTGAGTGACTTCACTCACTCATGGAGAGAAAAGAGAAGANGGGAAGATCCCCTGGAGAAGGAAATGGCAACCCACTCCAGTACTCTTGCCTGGAAAATCCCATGGACGGAGGAGCCTGGTGGGCTACAGTCCACGGGGTCACAAAGAGTCGGACACGACTGAGTGACTTCACTCACTCATGGAGAGAAAAGAGAAGAGGTCCAAGTAATGAACTCTGGAACACTCCCAACATTCATTTAGAAGGCACAGAGAAGAAGTGGAACTCGCAAAAGAGATTGAAAAGAATCAACCAAAGAGGAGGAGGGAAACCAGGTGAATGTGGTACCCAGAAAACCAAGATAGGAAGTGCTTCTTGGAGAGGTGAGAGGCATCTGCAACTGTGTCAAATGCCCTTGATTGAGAAAGTTGAGGGCTGAGAAATGATCACAAGATTTAACAATTAAGTCTATTGATAACCTTGAGAAGAGCAATTTAAAAGTTAGAATATAGACAGTGCTTTTAAGTTGTGCTATAAAGGGAGGGTGAGAAATACAATAGTAGCTGGGAGAGGGAAATAAGTTTTTTTAAAGATAAGAGCAATAATGACATGCTGTTCTTATGCTGTTGGTAGTGACTCAGTAGAGAGGGAAAAGTCGATGATGCAAGAGAGAAAAGGGAGAATTATTAGATTGGTGTTTTAGAGACAGCAAGACAGGATGAGACCTAACACACAGGGAGGGTGTTGCGTTTGGCTCAGAGCATAGACAGTTCATCCATAGTAACAAGAAAGTCAGGTGTATGGTATATATGTCGCAAGCTGTTATCGATCATCTTCATTTCCACTGTGGTTTAACTCTCTAGCTGACCTACATGTCCTGTATCCTGAAATATATTTTGTTAATCATAAAGAGGACTGGTGCCATGAAGAGAACAAACTTTCCTAAAACAATAGGTAATTTTTCATTATAATGATTCTCAGTTCTGGTAGCTTGATATTTCAGAGTAGCTACAATTCTAAAGAGATATCATAAAATTCTCAAAACAAAGTTAATTTAAACTAACTTTAGTTTTGAGAAAAAACCCTTTTCCTTTTTAAGGTAACAATTGAAATTACAGTCCTTGCATGTTAGAGCTTTACCTGGATTTGAAAACTACAGCTTCATTCTGTCATTTTTCAGAGATTAAAATGAAAATGATTGCCAATTCATCTTTATAAACTGGCTCTTCTGATAAGAGCAAAAAATGATTCCTTTTTCC